ATATTGATTACTGTCAACTGATTTAGTTTCAATGAAAAATCTATTTTAAAAACTATGTCATTAATTGCCCAAGTACTTACGAAATTTCGCAAGACACGGACAACTGTTTTTAATTTTTACCATTAAGTTAAAATATCTAGAAATGTTTAATAAATTGCAATCTACATCATTTTTGTTGTTCTGTTCTAACTTTAAAATGTTAAAATGTAATGCTTCGTCGTTGGATGGGAAAATGATGAACAAAGTTATGGGTCTTAGTCGGAAAGCCAAGTAAGTAGGATTAAAAAAAGTGTTCATTATAAGTTTGATAACTGATTTTAATATTATAATTCAGAAAGGTTTGGTATAAGCCAAATGTTGGGGCAAACCCTACATTTGAAGAGCTCATGAAACAAACGACAAAAAACAATGCTGGACGTCAAACAAGCAAGCGTATAGCCGTTCTKAATAAGTTATTAATGAAAAATATAACTGATTTAATGGCAACAGGTGAAAACTCTGATAAACTCATTGGATATGGTCTAGAAATTTCAAAGGTATAAAATCATTACTTTGTTTATTTTTTAGTATTCAAGGTAATTTATTTAACTGCTTTACTCATGTTTCTGTTAACTTTTATGATTTTAAAAATGATGATTTTATTTAATGTTAAAATTTCTATAAAAAATAATCTAATTTATTACTTTAATATTGTTATACAACCTAAGTGTTGAGATATAATAATTTCAAAATCTCAATAAAAAACAAAAAGTTGTTACTATATTTTATCATATTAATTTTTTGAAATTTCAAACCGCACATTTAATTTCATATTCAGAAACAGATATTTAGTCTGACAATAGAGTTTATTTATGCATGAAATGTTCGATATTGTTCTAATACCGTTAAAYAATGTAAAAAAAGTAAAACCTACAAAATAGTTATTAAATAAATTTGCTTGTAACAATTCACTAATATAATTACTTAAGTCCACATCGTAAATTTATGTATAAATGTTTTTAAATTGTATTTCRTTGATTGACTGAGAAAATGAGCATAGCGTGTTAAATGCCTTAGATTAAAATGTTTTGTGTTTTTACTATAGGTTTGTATTGCCGGGGATTACAGATCTGTCAAAGTATTTTGGTTGGCTGGAAAATCTGAAGACGATTCTCTGTTAGATGAATTATTGCAAAGTATAAGCGGTCCACTGAGACATGAATTATCTATATTAAGAATAATGGGTGAAATTCCAAGAATACAGTTTATTAAAGGTAAATGTTAAAAATAAAGTTAATTCTAATCTATGATGCTACTTTATCAGCTACATAGTGGACTAGTAATAGAAATTATTCTCAATAATAACTAATAATTTTGGTATTTCAGATAAAACTTATGCMAATATTGCAGCAGTTGATCGATTATTAAGTAAAGCAGATTTTGGTGAAGATTTTGTACCTACTTACGATGTTTTATTAAACAATCACCCTACAATTTATACTAATATTGATCCAGAAATCAAAGTAATTAAATATTTAATACTTCTTCTAATAACTACTAATAGTATTATAAATAATTTATGTATAGTATGCTTTTAATTAATTTCAGGAAAAAATCAAAAAATTAGAGGACAAAGAAAATCTAAAAGAARAAAGTAACGATGAAGTAATAATTCCAAAAATGAAAATGGATGTAATGGGTCTTGATCATAAAGCAATAATGGACAGAGTAAAATATTTATTTTAACATATTATATAGGTTGATTAGAAAAATAATAATGTGGCCTACATAAGGTTAGTGTCTTTAAGTCCTGTTGCTGGTTCAAACTTAGTACCAGCCGCTTTTTCATACAAAAGGCAATGAAAACCGCAACAATTATTTTTTTCTAAGAACACATCACTACAAGAGTTAATTATTTAGAAGAATAACTGTTGTGAAATTAATCTAATGGTTAAAAAAAATGTCGATAGAATTAAATCACATTATCATATAAAAATCCATTAGAGGATTTATTTGATATTATATATTAAAAAATATTGTTATTTTTCTGATTATATTACTTTCTTTTTAGTTGAACATGGCCATCTTAAAGTCAAAAGCTGTTCATCGACAACCTGCTATGCATAATCCTACGAAAAATACAATAACAGAACATACTGAAGAAAATCAATATTTATCATTTACTGATTTTGTGAAAAAAAGAAAAATTCAAGAAGTCAAAGCTTTAGGTAGAAGGAGGAGTARGTCGATTGAGAAAGAAATGTATGATAAAGATATATCATTGAATTATGAAGAAGAAGAAGAAGACGACGATAAAATTCATGAATATCCATTTAAAATTTAAATCAATATACCTAAATTGTTTTAGTATTTCTTGTATTTGTTCAATGTATTAATGCCGTTTTTATTTAGTTTTCTATAAATTATTTTATTTATACTTAAGAAATTGTTTAAGTAACAAAAAATAAGATGTATATTTGAAGATAAAAGTAAAATATTATATTGATGACGACTTTTTCCATGCATGGTTAGTGACGTTAGTGTCATATATTAGATATCTTTATTCATGATAATTTAATTAATTTTTGAAAACTAGTAATATTTCGACACATTTGTTTCTAGAACATAGTGTGGGGAATGATGGTACACAAATCCCCATTACGTGATTCAAATGTCCCTTTCCTGTCATAGGTAGATGTTCTGATATCGTGAACTGTGAATTGGTTAAAAAAGAACATAGGTCCACAATGTACAAACTACATTTATATTCAAAACATTTTTGCCCAGATCAAGTTTTAGGCATTTGTATGGTTTAAACGCATAAATATAATCTATGTGGTGTACTTGTGTGTCTCAGTGTCTCATCGACATTTGAAATTATTATTTACGGACCTAAATAATTAGCTTATTCATCAACTCAAACTATGATAATAGTTAAGCTCAAACATAAATTATAGTTATATCTTAGCAAAGTTATGTTTTCTGCCTACATTAAAAGTGTGTTCCTTTTGCACTTGTTAATTTAATTCAAAATACACTTATTATTGTATTTCAAGACCAATGCACAAAACAATTAAAATATATAACATGTGTGGATATTTTATCATATAATTTTGTTGTATTTATTTTTCATGAAAAACATACAAAATAAGTTAAAAGTAAAAAACATAACTTTAAATATATATACATATTATATGTCACGTCTTAAATAATACATTTTTATTTGTAGTAAATTATAAAAAAAAATAGGTGCTTGTACACTTATTCAGTAATTATTTTATACATTAAGCTATAAATCACTATTCATAAGTACTTGATAATTATGACGTTKATGAACATTAGGAACAATATCAACCAACCACTCTTTGTCAATAACAGTTATATATTTCATATACGGTTGACTAGTCTCAATAATTTCTGTATATAGAACACAATGAGGATATGAATGAAACAGTGTTGAAGTCGGATGGATTTTGCACTCTTTCTTAGCATTAACTGTAACATACTTTTTTTCCTGATTTATATATGCCAAATTTTCAAAAAATCCCGTCAATAAACATTTTCTAATAGGATCAAAATTATCCCCGCATGATTGGCCAATCGGTAAATGTAAGTACCTACAGATATCAAGCAATTGTTCTCGAGCACGATCTGCGTATTCTAAATTACGAACATTGAGAAAATTGTCATCACACCAACTGGACTTGGAATCTTTTCTTATTTTTCTATACGAACGGAATGTTTTTAACAACATGATATGGTCACTGACGGATGACTTGAATTTTGTATGAGCATCCTCRGCTTGCTTCTTTTTTTTCTCTGAAAGACTAGACACAAATATTGAATCAGTAGATAATATAGATACAATATTTACAATATCTTCCATACAACCATAGTTCACTGATGATAATATTATTTTTGAGTACCTTGGGTCAAGAGGAAATTTAGTCATTTTATGACCTAATTCAGTTAAAATACTATTTTTTGTGGCACCTAAATTTCCTAACATTTTGTAAGCTTGATCAATTGCTTCTGTTGATGGCTTATTAATAAAATCAAATTTGTAAGGATCCATGTTCATGGCCAATAYTTGTAATACTACATTACCCAAATTACACCTTAAGATTTCTGGCACAGGGTCTTTGGTCATTTCATCATATTGCTTTTTTGAATAAATTCTGTAACAATATCCATCAGATTCACGACCTGCACGACCAGCTCTTTGTTCAGCTTGGGCTTGAGAGATATTTTCTACTTTGAGTGCATCCATTGAAGTTTCTGGATGAAAACATCGAACTTTAACTTTGCCACAATCAATCACATATTTGATACCAGTCAAAGTTACTGATGTTTCTGCAATATTTGTACTCAATATAATTTTCCTAGCAAATTCATTAGGTTCCAATGACATAAATACTTTGAGCTGCTCATTGGTAGGCAATGAAGCATATAATGTTCGTACTTTTATAACAGGATAATTTCTTAGGGAAGGATCTTGGTTAATGTGCTCAATAGCAAGRGCCATATTTTCTATTTCTTCTTGACCAGTTAGAAAAACTAAAAAGTCATGCCGTTCAGGTGCCTCTTTATGYAATTGAAATATTGTAACAAAAGTATCATGGAAATAATCTTCTACATTTTTCTTAGCATGGAATATTTTGATGTCATGAAGCCTACCTTGTAAGTAAACAATCTGCGCATTGCCAAAATAATCTGCAAACAAATCAGCATTCATTGTTGCTGACATGACAATTACTTTAAGAGGGTTAGAACTATTTTTACGACTGCGTTGAACTTTTTTTACAATTCCAAAAAGTAAATCCGTATTGACTGTACGTTCATGAGCTTCATCTAAAATAACACATCCGTATGCCGATAAGCTCTTTTCTAATATAGCGGTTCGTAATAACATACCATCAGTCATAAACTTTATTTTAGTAAAGTGATTAGTCTTGTCAATAAACCTGACTCTGTAACCAACCAGGTCTCCGATTTCRGTGTTTACTTCATATGATACGCGTTCAGCTAATGATATCGCTGCTACACGTCTTGGTTGTGTAACAACTACATCTTCATCCGGACGTAATATATTTTCGTAAACAATTTGAGGAATTTGCGTTGTCTTGCCACTTCCTGTTTCTCCAATTATAATTAAAGTTTCATTTTTATTAATTAAACTACAGAGTTTATCTTTTTGAAGAGTAACAGGCAAAGATTTTCGTTCATCGTCAAAATACTTGACTAAATCCATTTTACTTAAGTCATTCATTATTTATGTTCTGTGGCCTAGAATTTAAATATTTTACATCATTAATAAATAATTCTAAAATGTTAATAAATACCTTAAAATAGTAGTTGCAAAGAACCTATTAATTGCAGTAATTGTACTTATTATTATATTATTATATATATTATCATATTTTATGGGAAATTGTAAAATTATTTTCAAGCCGTTCAAATTAAATATATTTTTAGTACTTTTATGTAATGAATTATAAATAACAATTAAAATAGATACATTAAATATGATTCTTGAACTGAAAAGGGACAAGTTCAATTTTGAAAGGTTTTTAAATGTAATATTTTTATGATTCACTTTTGTTTTTATTTAATTTTTRATATAAGTGATTTAATGTATCTGATTTCTATTCATAAAGTTTGTGTAAAAACTATCTTTAATTTCATGTCTACAAATAATAAATTGTAATTCATGTGTGAATGATCTAARCATTCTAAACAATGCATTCGTTCTTTTAATGAACGCGAAAGCATTGCCTTGGATAAATTATAAACTTGAAAGGTGAACTAGTTCAGATTWTAAGTGAACTTTCTAAACACTGCTCAGTAATAAGAAGATCTTCGGTAAAAATAGTCTGTATTCGATGAATTTAATTTAAAAAACAAAATATAGGTACCTACTTTACAATATAGTATGAATTCTGAACCGAGAAGAGTCAAAATCTAAAATTAATGTCAATACAATATGCACATTACTGAATTTAATGTATTGATATAACGAACCACTTAAAATCTAAAAAATTTAAAACTTGGATGTTAAATCACAATATTTTTATTTTAGTCTCGCGTCATAAACAAAATAAGTTGTATAGTTTACATTGTTGCATTACTTGCATTAGATACCAGAGGTAGCCATATTCGAATAAAATTCACGTGCTTTAAATTATCAAAACGGTAATGATCATTGATAACAGATTGTCATCCAACCAGATAATCTGATAATATTTATTCATGTTTGGCGATAATGTGATAAATGTAAAATGACAATAATATGATCCACATTCCAAAATTCGTCATTCATGATTCGTGCCCAAAAATTAAATTAATTAAAAATTATGTTATTATAAATGACTAACATAAAAAAATAAAAATATTCCAATATTAAATTCATAGGTTCACCATAGATAAAGTAACTGCTTCCTGTAGTAAACTAAAAGTAAACTCTTTTCTGTTGATATAAATGTTTTTTTTGTAACTTACCTATTACTAATATACAGTTTTTCTGTTGAATATAAAGTATCATTAAGAATTTTTGGCAGTTAAAATAAATGTATGTTGTATTTTCATTAACAATTATTTAATTTTAGCAACTTTTTCACTTTGTAATTAAATAAATGTATAGGAAAATGAGCACAACAAGATTAGAAATAGATATCAGAAGACTCTTGTCAGTTTGTGAAGAAATGGCTCAAAACAATTCATCTGACGATTGGCGGTTAAGCAAGGTAGACAAAAATTTATTTAGATTACTATAACATTGGRTTTTAAATTGTGTTTTATGTTAAATGTATGCAATTGGGTGTAATGTATGTTTAATAGTTAATAATTACCATTTTATTAAATTTAACAAGATTTGTGGTTACCACTTATCAGTCTAAAAATAATTTGTACATTTTTTGTATTTTATTATTA